ACAGGTATAAAAATAAGATTCTTTTTAGAAAATTCCAGTTTTGAAGGGTACAACAATTGTGAGGACATTTGCCCACAGCCATGAGGCCATGGGGCCACTTGTAAAGTGAAATAAACATCTTTTGACTCCGACTCTTGCTCTTATCACAACTCAGGTTGAAATCAGTTCAGTGTCCTGGAAGTGGGGGAAAACTCCTCAAGGGAAATAGGATAGCATTTCAGAAATACAAGTGAGAGTTCAGCATCCTGTATGAAGGTGTAAGACAGAGGCGCACACAAGTACATTTTCCAAAGCACCACGTTTGGCCTCTTTGTAGCAAGTCACTATGCACCACAAAGTCTTCTACCAGACCTCAGAGCTTACACTTTCTAAGCAGGGGACATATGCGGGCTTTTCAATGGCTCAACAAGGACATTTTAGAAACATAAGTATGGTTACAGTGCAGATAAGAAGAAACTGTAGGAAATGCATCATTTGAAATCACACAATTTCAGCTTTCCATGAACACATGACATCCTGTGACTTCACACTCATGCCGCCCTCCGTACAGTAAATAACTCTTTCTTGATAAGAATATGTGATAACCCACATGTTGGTGACTCAGACCTGCAATCCCTACTCAAGAGGCTGAGATCAAGAGGATTGTGGTTTGAGGCCAGCATGGGCAAAAAGTTCACAAGATTCCATCTTAGCCAATAAGAAGATAGGCATGTTGGCTTGCGTCCGTCACCCCAGCTATGGGGGGTGGGTGGGAGGCGCACTGAGATTCAGGAGGACGGATGGGGTAAAGTGAGACCTTATCTCAAAAAATGAACCAGAGTTAAAAAGGGCTCAAGAGGCTGAGCTCCTACCTAGCCAGTGCAAAGCCTTATACTGCGGTATTGTACCCTAGTACTGCAAAGTCTGTGTATGTATAAGTGTACACATATATGCATGTATGTATACACAGATATTGATAGGTGATACTATCTATACACCCACAAGGAGGAAAATGAACATGTATGTGGGAACAGCCCTGTTTTATCATCCCAGCAATGAAGAACACAAAACTATTCAAAAATTCCTAGGACATTTTACGTGTTTCATGTGATTTTTATTATTTGTTTATTATGATTAATTAGCTTCTCCCCTCCCGCCTTGATCTCCAAGAGAATCTTTAAATGTTCTCTCAAAATTTCACCGGAGGCTCAGGTGATCTTTCCTTCAGCAGGTGTGATGTAGCCAGATGCCAGCTGTCCCCGAGGTCACAGGCAGCAGCGGCCACCGGGAGACAACTAGCCTTCCTTGTGATATTTTCATCTGTGTCTGTTTTGTGAACCAAAGTACTTCTCTCCTCCGCCTCGTGGAAGCAGAGCCTGAGGAGGGGCATGTGCATCTCGCAGGTCTGGCTGCAAAGGTGAGGTCCGTCTTATCTCTTTAGAGACAGCAGTGTGCCCACAGCGAGGTGCACACAATAAACCCGTCCTACGGTTCTGGACTCTCATTTGCCACCTATCCTCCTCTGCCCACCGGACCACCGTGCTGTCCCCTGTCCCATCCTGAGCCTCAGATCCTAAGTAGAAATGTCTCATCACCCCTGTGGCCGTGGTGGGCAGAGAAGCAGCGGGTGGCTTGGGCAAGGGACAGCAGACCCCCGGAGCAGCAGGTCAGGTGGCCTCAGGGGGCTCCTGCCACGGGCTGGCTGCCTGTACTGTGAGCCTTCACGGTGCCGCTTCTTCGCCTTTACCTCCTGGGTCTAATCCAGGGCAAGTGTGCCATAACACCCACAGGGCACAAGGCTGGAATCACTGGACACCTGGCATCACATCTGAGCAGAAAAAAAAGTCCCACAAGCACTCACGGGCAGGGAAGAAGGCGGCCACTTGATTGGGGGATGACGTAAGATTTTACCTCCTCCCCTGCAGGCACCAGTCCCTCATGTGATCCCCCTTGGCATCTCCCCCCACGCAGCCCTCAGCCGCCTGCCCATGTCCCCAGGAGACCTTGCTGCTGTGCAATTCCTGACGGAAGGGAACTGGGTGCCATGGCCCACTGGGTCCTCCGCACCTGCTGGGGCCAGGTGCCCCGCCCCTCCCCAGGAGCAGCGCACAGAGGCCCGTAGCAGGCGTGGGGGAAGGGAGGCTGTGGTCCCTCTCAACTTCTGACAGACAACTTCTGACTCCTCCCTGGAGGAGGAGTCTGGTCTGAGCTGTTGGACTTTCAGAGTGAGGAGCCTGGCTCAGCAGGGCTACATAGGATGAATAAACCCCAGAGGTTCTGTCTGTAGAGCAACAGCTACCAGAAGCCACGCCCCGCTCTCCTGAACTCTTCATTGGAGAGGATGGAATCCGCCCATCACAGCTGCTGTACGGAATCGATGATCACCCAAAGCTCTGTGGAGGCCCTGACACTGGCTAGAAATGACTTCCACGGTTCTGATCAGAGATGAAGCGAAGTGTATTGCCAACCAAGACCTCTCTGCTGAGAAGCAGGATGCGGTCAGGGAGTGCTGGGCTGGGCTTCTGATCCTTCAGCACCAGGCGCTTGGTTCTGGGTCAGAAGAATAAGCAGGTCCGGAAGGTCTGACACCAGTCACCCCAGACACTGGCGGTTCTTGTCCATTTTTAACCATCCATCCATCCATCTCATCTCGTGCTATTTTTTTTAAATGGTTTAAATTATTTGAAGGCAGAGATTTCATTTCAGACTTTTAAATAAGTTACCAGGAAGAAAAAGCATTATCTTCTTTAGAGTAAGACAGTTCATGTAAAAGCATCTGTGTCTCACCAGAGGGCTTGACAAGGTTGCGGACAACTTCCTGCTCCACTGCATCTTTTAGGCCAGGATCTTCCAGAACTTTCCACAGTGCAGAAATGAAACTCGCAAAGGGCTGCTACTTCTGCTCCTGGTCAAAGCAAACCTTACAGGTAGGCCAAAGAGACTATTTGATTTATAGAACCCGAAGAGGTGGGTCCCCTGGCCCCACTGCGGTTTTGACGGAAGAGTTCAGGGTTTTTGCTCCAACACACGGCAGGAAAATGTCCCTGTCTACGTCACTTGGATAATTAGATTATGCTCTTGTAATTTAAGCATTTCTACTCAAAGATCATGTCCAGAGACACCTGCGGTGTCAAGTGGAGGCCTGAATGGGAATTACAGCACGGGAGAGCTCCCTTCACCCCCTGCCCTCTGAAGCTCCGGGAGAGCCACATCCGGGTCCTGTGGCACTGTGTGCTCACCTGGCGTGCAGACGCAGCCCTCTCACTCTCCCCGCAGCACGCAGGAAGCCGCACGCCAGACCAGGCCACATCGCATCATCCGTCAGACTCCTGGAGCCGAGAACAAGCTCCATCTGGGGGAACATGTTTCGCTTTGATACGAAGTGATCCACAAAACCCAGGATCGATGGAAAAAAGGCAAATGGGCAGGAAGCGAATTCCATGTCCAATGGAATTCTACCTCTGAAATGCATTGGGAGTTATCAGCTCTCCACTAGAGGCGCCCTGACACCTCAGTGAGCATGTGCGGACAGGCCCCAGGGGACCTCACCATTCATCTTCCTTCTGCCACACAACCTATTCTCCCACAAACATCTCCAGAAGGTTCCGCAAGTCTACAATGGCAAACCTGGGTGGCCTCTGCACCTGGTGGGCACAGGCGTGTATTTCTCAGTCTCTGGTGGTCGAGGGGCAGAACAGATGCGTGAAACCCCCTCACGGAGCCTATGCTGAATGCCGCCACGCTCCTGCGGGAGCAGATGCTTAGCACTTAGTGTGGAATGTTAGTTTATGTCCGCCCGCCCCAAAGAGCAGTACACACTGAACACAGACGTTGGCAAATGAGAGGCACAGGAATGGGGAAACTGGCCTTGAAGGCTTCTCCAACTACAGCAGATCACAGAAAGCCAGTTACATCAAGTTCAAGGCCAGCTATATCAAGTTCAAGGCCGGCTGCATCAAATTCAAGGCTGGCTGCATCAGATTCAAGGCCAGCTACGTCAAGTTCAAGGCTTCCACTTTTCTTTGGCAAAGGCTTCAAATAAATGATATTAGGTGGGGCCTTCATAGCCATCACCAAAGATCCAACACAAAAAAAGGAAGAATTGCACAGCCAACTCTCAGTGGGTTTTTCTGCATGGGTAGGAGAATCACCTGAGCCTTGGGCATCTGTGACGGGCCATCCACGGCTTCGACGCACAGGGAACGGTGGAAATCCCTCTGTTAAGTCTTGGGTCTTCCTTCCCTCCCGGTCCGAGCTTGAGCACTTGGTGACCTGAATGTTTCCCAAAGGGGTAATACCCAAAGATGTGGAAGAAGATGCGAACATGCTAGTGAAACAGGATCTTCTTTCCTTGTTGAAACACTACCGATCAGCTTGAAGCAAGAGGAGTCATACAGGGGGGTCCTGGAGCAGGAGACCCCCTTCTCAGCCCCCATCCCATCTCACCTGTGGTGGGGCCACAGGTGGGATCAGACTGTGTGCGGCCCTCCCCTCCACCCCACATACACCCCACCTATGCTCAGAGTTACAAAAGAGGTAGTAATGTGCTTATAGCACAGGAGTATGGGAAAAACCAGGATGTTTTCTTCCTGTGGATCAAAAGGCCTTCCACACGCTGGGAAGGCTGCAGAGGGCATGGGCAGTTGATCTCCACCTGGGTTCGGCTGCATGTGGAGCCCAGCGACCCGCTGAGCTCTTCCTAGCTCAGAAGAGGGCAGAACGGCTCTCTTACAAGGCCCTAGGTTGCAACTCTGGCACATTACGAGCTTTTTTTTGTACTACTCTGGCCAAGGCACAAACTACCTTCAAATGTAATCACTACAAGATGCTTCCTAGAAGGTAAAATGGGGTGTGTGTGTGTGTGTAGGTTACAAATAACAGGCACTCATCTTGATAGGGGTCAGAGAGAGAAGGTAACTAGCTATGACTTGCTGTCTCTTCTTTGGGGGGGAGGGGTAGCGTACCTGGACAGCTTGCAGAGCAGCCCCGTGAAGCCGGGAGCTGAATTCACTCTGTTTTGGTTTAGATTCAGGTGGTTCCTTTTTTATTATCATCTCTCTCGGAAGGAAGAAAGAAGGACCGGAAGCTTTTAAATCAAGAATAATCAAGATACAGTGAATCTGGAAGGCATTGGAAGCAGAACCCCGACTCAGGGACCGAGGAAGCAGCCTGACCGGCATCCAGGCGTGTCCCCGGCCCGTGTCCTTCTCAGGACAGCTGAGTTCAAGATGGCGCGCCGTCACTTCCAGCGGTGCCTGACGAGCGAGGACTCGTCGTTGACAGCCTCGGGGTCACGGGGTGCGTGGCGGCAGGGACAGGGGAGCAGCAGCAGCAGGATGAGGACGAGGAGGATAAACCCGCACGCGCTCATCAGGGAGTACGAGACAATCCACAGGACGGGCTCATTCAAAGACGGGGCCGGGACGCAGTTGCTGGCAATGTCATCCGTGGAGAAGGGTCCGGAAATTTCTGACACTGGAACCCCTGCGATCTCTGAGGAGAGACAGGGAAAAACATCCATGGCTGTGCGATGAAGAGCGGGCACAGACAGCCCTGGGCGGCTCGCACAGCCACACCATGCTCTGAGGTGCTGATTACGGGTACCCAGGAGCCCCAGGTCCTTGTGGCTGGAGGCCAGGACCTCAGAGGGGAACTCAGGGGCAGCGTGCCTCCAGGGGTGCAGGCCCCTGCAAACAGGAAGGATGGCCTGTCCACGCAGAAGTGACCACAGAAGGGGCGTGTGGGCACACCTGGAAGACACAAGGCCACAGGGAGGCCCCACCGTGCTCAGCTGACTGAGGCCAGAAATAACAAGCAGCATTCACATGGCAGAGTGCAGCCTTCTCCTGTCCACCTCTTTCTGTTTTTGTCAGTCATGGGCCTTGAACTCGGCCTGGGCGCTGTCCCTGAGCTCTTCAGCTCAAGGCAAGCGCTCTACCACTTAAGCCACAGTGCCACTTCCAGTTTTCTGGTGGTTTATTGGAGATAAGAGTCTCACAGCCTTTCCTGCCCAGGCTGGCTTTGAACCATGATCCTCAGATCTCAGCCTCCTGAGTAGCTAGGATTACAGGCGTGAGTCACCAGTGCCTGGCCATCTCTTTTTTTTTTTTAAGGCAAAGATGGGATTCTATAGGGTCTACCATTTTGTAAACTGAATCTTGACCTTCCACATGATCAAAATCTTAAAATTTAATTTTAAGCCAGGCTGTTTTTGATGACGACACACAAAGCCATATTAGGCATGTACCATATCCTTTTAAAACCAATGTGATGGTTAATCTTGACATTAACTAGATTGTTAGTGGAAGCAGTGATAATCTGTATTTGTATTGCAATGATAATATCTACCATTCTCTCATACTCATACGTTTGTGAGAATCTCTTAGATGGCAAAAACATCCTCAGGTTGTGAATATCTTTTCATAGTTGGCCAATTGTGTGTGTGTGTGTGAATTTACTTTTCAGGAAAGTGGATGGTCATTGTGTTAAGTCAGGAAGACAATATTACATGTTTTATACTTTACAGCTCATGAGAAGGAGAAAAATGAAAGAATTTCTTGAGAGATGAGGCTCACAGCAGCATCAGCAGGCACATCATCCAGGGCGTGGTATGACGTCACATTAGACATGTCAGAAGACCTAAATCAAACTGCTAGATGCAATATGCAGGGTAAAATCACACTGGTGGCATTAATAGCAGAGTATAGACTGTAGGACAAAAAAAATCTACCATAATAGCCACTATACAGAACAATGCAGAAACTATACAGAAAATGCACATGGCGAATATGGAAAACTAAAATGAACATGAGCCCACCAGGATACTCTGCAGCAGCCAAAGCATGCTATCGAAGGACATGGGTGGGAGACAGAAAAAAATATGGGAAGAAATAACAACCGAAAGCTTCCAAATTTGATAGAAACTACAAAGCCACATATCCAAGAACTTCAAGGAGCCCCAACTAGCAGAAATATGATATAGAAAGAGAACCCCAGTGAACTACTGAGGCCCAGTGATAAACTGAGAGCCTGAAAAGCAAAGAGAAAAAGAAACAAATATACGACAAGGCAAGGAACAAGAAAGAGCATTAATTATAGATAAAACAACACAGGCTGGAAGATGCTTGGGTGACATCTTTAACATACCAGGTGCAAAGCAAAGCACTCTGGGAAACCTCTGGTTCTGTGCCCTGCAATAATGTCTCCCAGCAAGGAAGAGGAAATAAAGATGATTTCAGCCACACACACACACACACACACACACACACACACACACACACAATTTATCTCAAGCAGATTTTCACAAAGGAAGTCTTTTGAGCATAAGAAAAAGGACAGCAGGTGTGGGAAAACCTGGCTCCACACAGAGGTATAAGGAAGAGTAGAAAGAGAAATTGTGCAGTCAGATCTGAACCTTAGATTTCAGACTTAAACAGTTAAAAAAAAACCCCAACACCACAAGTGGAAAGTTCTTCTCTGACCTCACGGTATAGGTGAGACAAGAGACAACAGAAATATCATACATAAATACGTAAAGCATCTAGACGGCTTGGCAAACTTTCCTGAAATGGGCCACATCGTGGCATGTAAAGGTTTGGGAATTACGCATTCCCCCCCCCAACTCTTTAAAAATATAAAAATCACTCTCAGCTTGCTGGCCACAACAAACCCTATGCCAGATCTGGCTGGCAAGCTGGTCTGTCTCCCAATCTCTGGTCTAAACATTCCACTTAGAAAGTAAGAGATTTGTCAAATTAGATAAAAAGCCACTACATCGCCTAAAAGAAGTGTACTTGCAATATAAAGTCTCAGATATGTTAAAAGTAAAAGGATGAGCTGGGTTCTGTTAGCTCCTGCCTGTGATCTCTGAGGTCTAAGGATCTGGGTCTGAAGCCGGCTGGAGCAGACAAGTCTAAGAGCCTCTTAGCAACAACTGACAAGCAAAAAGCCGCAAGTGGAGGTGTAGTTCAAGTGGTAGAGTGCCTGCCTTGAGTGAAAAGCCAAGTGGGGGCATAAGACTCCAAGTTCAAGCACCTAGGACCAGTATATATGCTCATGCATGTGAACACACACACACACACACACACACA